CAACTTTCTTAAGTAGATTTCGAATGTAATTAGTTTTAGTCATGACAATTCCGTTTCCTAGTTCTAGAAACTTCAAGGCCAAGGAAGTGATGAAGCTCGCGTAATCCTTACAAAAATAAAATCTCTTCAAAACAAAGATGGTATGATCAATTTCTTCATTTTGTTTGTTGTAATTATATGTCATCTACATAGGCTAGGACAAACACATTGTGACCTTTATCATGCTTGAAAAGGAAAGATGGATATGTCTTTGAGGTCTGGAACCAATAGTGTTCAAAGCACTTTCAAGCTTTGTAAACCATAACATAGATGCTTGCTTTAATCCATATATAAATTTCTTAAAAAAAAAAAACTTAGTTATTATCCTTTTCATAACCAGGTGGTTTTAGCATATAAATTTTTCTATCCAAATCACCCTTCAAGAATGTATTATCAACAACAATCTTCTTATAGACCAAGACTTTGAGAAAATAATAGAGAGAATGGTTCATATGGTAATTGGATTTATCACTGAACTAAAGGTTTCATTATAGTACATACCTAGTACTTGATTGTAGTCCTTAGCCACTAATCGGGCCTTATGTCTCTCAAATGTGCTATTCTGCATGTCTCTTTAATTTGAAAAGCCTTTTGCATCTCACAACCTTCTTACCAAGTGATAGGTTATTGGGCACCCATATATTATTCGCAATTAGTATTTGATACAGTTGGATCTGTTTATGTGCTTTGCAATTCAGCTGTGAAGAATTTCTTCTTACTTATGCTTGCTCTTGCCCTAGTAACCATGGGATGTGTATTACCTGCAACTTCATGATGAGTAAGATTATGTGCAGAAATCTCTGGTTGACTATTTTGCTCAATAGGAGCTCTATGTAAATCTTTCCGAGAGAAAATCAAGGAGAGGTGGTTAGAATGGTTGGTTGTGAAATTCTTGAAAGTAGCATATGAGAGTTTGTTTGTGTCGAGTGGGATTTTGGTTACGAGGGGCTGACTGAGTAGTCATGTTGTCCTGATTTGAGCTGAGAATAATAAGAAGTGAGCTGATGGCTAAATGTGGACTGTGATCTGATGGTCTGTTTTAAATCTCTTTGGCTCTTTTAAATAGAAATACCGATTCATCAAAACCCACATGTCGTTAGGAAGGAGTATTTTATTCCTTTTGTACTGGTCATTATGGCTAATGAAGACACCAGGTTGGCTTATAGGCTCCAATTTGTGTTTATTATAGGGTCTCAAGTGAGGGAAACAAAAACAACCAAAATTCTAACAAGTAAATAATCTGGTTTGTGTCCAATAATACCTTAAAAGAATGACTTATAACCAAGTGAGGCACATATGAATGAGCTAATTACATAGATAATCCAGTTTCCACAATAGGTTTTTGCTTCCTTTCAGCTCTTTCATTTTGGTCATGAGTACTTGGACAAGATTGTTGGTTCTATTAGGAACGTCAATGATGTGCACATTCGAATCTATCTAAGTAAACCCTAACGCAGTGGAATCTATAGTTAGGATTAACACATTACCGTAAAACTTTTTGACTCTGAGACATTTTTGATTTCCTCTGTAGGGGATCGTCTGAACTGCAGAGTCTGTTGGGCAGCCAGACTAGGCCTCTTACGTCGGATTCGGGTCATCGGGACATAAACGGGTTGCCAGGGACTTGGGCTCGTCGGGCTCGAGTCGTTCGAACGTTGCTTGGCTGCTGCGGGTCACAGGCCAAGGTCGAGCTACGGGTCGGGCGCTGGACTGGCCTCGGTCATCTACTGGTCGGGTGTGGTTTGCGGACGGGCACTTGCAAGTGCTCACATACGAGCGCTGCTGGGTGCTCGCGAATGGCGTCGATGTGCAGGGTTCGATGGCGTGCGCGTCGGCTCACGAAAATGCTCAGGTGGCGCACTGTAGGTACCGGGAATGTCGAGGGCGTATGGGTGGCGTGCGCTGTGGGTTTTCTACTCTTGTAAGGATTGGGGCCCACGACGATCTCGGGCGAATAGGCGTGCACGGAAAGGCGAGTGAGGCGTGCGAGAAGGTCAGGCGGCGGTGCGCGAGCAAACATGCGGTGCAGGGGCTGCGCGCGTGCTGGCGGTTGTCGCTGGGGACTGGCGCCGACGTCTGGCTGCGTGCGACTGAGCACTGGCGATCTCCGACGGTGGTCGACAGAGGTGGACGGCGGCTGAGGGCGGTGGCTCGTCGCTGGATTTTGTACAAATAAAAGACTCGATAAATATTGCATCTTAAAGTCTTTTAATGTATAACCTAAACACCAACTTTGAAAAATCTCGGTGGGCGATTTTTCGAAACTCCTTTACTCTCATTATTTTATGATGCTCGATTTTTCTCTCTTTAAAGACCTTAAAATCGTGCCTCACAATGTGTAGAGAAAGAGGTTGGGACATTGTGTATTTATAGGCTACATTAAGGACCTTAAGGAGGTGCTAAATATGGACTAATTCCATATCTTTTCCCTTCTAAAAGTCTTATTCCTCCTAACCCTAATTACCCTTCTAGAAGACTCCAAAATCTCATAACCCTAGGGTAATATTCGTCTAGAAGGAACATTCCTCTTCTTAAGGAATAAATAATGAAAAATAATTAATTTCTAATTTCCTAATAGAATTAAATAATAAAAAATTCCACTAGAGTAATATTACTACTCTCCCCATTTAGCTCCAATTATATTCAATAAATTTGAAACTCCATTTTGATTAATAAATACTAATATAATTCATCAATTTATCTCCATATATTTAGATATAACGTCCGTCACTTAATTAAATTACAGACAATATAATTAAATCGACTTATTCATTTCCGAAACTAGTACCACTCAGATCATTAATCATTATGTCGGATATTCATACACCTGCAGGGTTTGACATAATATTCCTTCCTGAGCTCATTTCGGGGACGTCATCAACCCAACGCACTAGGTTGTAGTGATCGTAAATAATTTATAACAGCACATCATATAAACATCATCATTTACCAAAATACCGAGTATGTCATCCTAGCAAAATAGGAATCACCCTTTGGTAAATCAAATAAGCGAGCAATGAACATATATGCCCGTTTTATATTATCTTATGACTTAAGAGTACGCATCAATTACTGAAGGTCTAGATTATAACAACGATCAGTAATATAATCTTATCCTTACGCGTTCCGTTCAATACTTATCATAAGCACTAGTATAATCCATCAGTCAAAGACCAACCGAATCAAGACTTACACTACGGTCCTTTTCCAACACGAGTTTCACTGCCTGTCTAGACTGTGAACAATTAGTTTATATTTTACAAGGAACCGATAGAATGATCTTTCTGTTCGACACGACGAACCATACTATCTTCAATGTAAAATAAAGGAGTTATGATTGCATAACTAAATAAATTGCAAACATAAATACTTTGACTAAAACATGATTGCCAGATCAAAATAAAATTGTCAATATTGAAAGCTAAGCTTTTACAACATATCCTAACAATTTCCCACTTATGATTAGCGAATCTCATCTATTCCCCTATTGTGATGAGCCTAAATGCCAGGCAAACACTTTTTGAATTCTTGTATGGCAAAGAATATATTCTTTCAACCTTGCCTTGCATAAATGATATTAATTGCTTAGGAAATATGTGTGGTATAGCCACATATAAGTACTAGTATAATACCGTGTACTACACGGGTGTTTGAACAAAAAATTAAAGAAAAAAATATTTATATATTTGGTTGAAGTTGGTAAAAAAATAAGGAACAATATATAACATTTTATAATAAAGAACTAAGTGAATTAAAAATATTATTTTATATTTTAAAAATTAATTTATATACATTATTAGTTTTATTTATAATACTTTTATTTAAACACATAAGAGAATTGTTGATGAACGTTTTCGATTAACGGTTAATGGAAAATTAGCGTGTGTTTTGAAAGGAATTTTTGGGTACTTAACGTGGGTTATAAGCCCGTTCGTCGTGGGTATGATCGAGTGGAGAGTAATGGAGAAAAAATGCAAGAATGTGATTTGGGGGCTAAACATTAAATAAAACCTATTTAATTATACCTACTAGTAATCAACCCGTGCATTTGCACGGAGGCAAATTCATAGAAAATAAAATAAGAAAATAAGAAAAACAAAATACCAAATCATAATTTAATTCAAGAAAAAATGTGAATTATGAAATTAATTTTAAATATTGTTAAAAACTTCTTTACATAAACATTCATGGTACTTAGTTAGTCCTAATCGCCACATATCATTATGTTTAAACTCTTCCAATTCGTGACTCTAGAATGAGCCACGTACAAACTATTATGACTGCAAACATGGTTCTTCAGTATTAAGCCAACTTGTGGCAGAGGTTGGAATTGACTCTTTTTGATTCTCATAACGTAGGAAACCATGATATGAAACTGAAAAGGCTTGATGATGAAACTTGACGATGAAATCGGAAATAGTGGACTATAAGTACAAAAATTAAAGTAATGTTAAGAGTAAATTATAATTTTAGTCCTGTATGTTTCACTACTTTAACTTTTTCGTCCTCTTTGAATTGCGTTTTTTATTTACGTCCCTTATGTTTGCAAAAAGGTTACGAAAATGTTACTTTCATATATAAAGGATGAAATTGACTTTTTTCCTCAAAACATAAAGAACCTTTCTGTTGGGAAGAGGACCTTTTTGTAACATTTTTGTACACATACGGTACGAAAATAAAAAACGCATATCGAAGAGGATGAAAAAGTTAGGGCAGTGAAACATACATGACTAAATTTACAATTTACTCTAATATTAAACATTGATTAATGGTGAACTTATTGGCAATATAAATTTATTAAACATAGTACTAAAATATTAAAAAAATATGATTTTAAAGTAATTATTGTATAAGATACTTAAAATTACCATTGGTGAGTTCGTTAACTGACATTTTCGGGATCTCGTTTCTTTGTCGTCCGTTGTGAGGATTTTTTGTTATCCGACGTTAGCATTGTGTACATGTCAAGTATTTTTTCAGTTTTAATGTTTTTCTTATTTAATTTGATGAAAAATTTGTTATCGCTGAATATTATGCTAAAATCGTTCATGTTTTTTATTGTTTATATATTGTGTCTCTAGGAATTATTTTTATGCTAAATTAATTAATGATTATTATGCTAAAATCATGCATGTGTTTACTTGTTATGTACATGTATTAATATTAAAATTGATCAGCTTGGCATGTTTGCGATTATGGTGTAGATGAATTTATATTTAATCTTTTAGTTTATATAGATTTTTTAAATAGGCAGCTTGCATGATATTGTATTTTAATATTTAGACTGAAAGTATATTATATAAAGTAGAATTTTGATAACAAATTTGCTTCCAGCATAAGCCAATGGATGAAATATTTAATCTATCACTATAACATCAGGCTGCGAACATGCTATATAGGATTCGAGCAGAATTTTTTTATATATATTTTTAGACTGAATATATACTAATTAATTTTGCAGACAACTATAATTTTGGATTTAAAAACATACTTTTAACAAATAAAAAGTTTTTTTTTTAAATAGTAGCATAATGGCTAAATACCTGTATTCTGTTTATAATCTTTTTTGTATAATAGCTAGTTACTTGTAATCTGTTTAGTATAACAGTTAAATAATTTGACTTTTAAATAATGGCTGATTACTGGTAGCATAATGGTTGAATACTCTAACCTGTTTAGTATAATGGCTGAATAATTTTATTCTGAATAATGGCTCATAGTTAGATATGAATTTTTATGTGTTATTTGCTCTATAACAATTATTTGTAAAATATAATATAATATTATTTCTTTTGTAGGTACATGTGTGAAAAGCTGACTGGATATTTTTTTTCTGTTTTATTTGATTTTTGTAATTTTAGAAATTATTTCGTGTACGATTCTTTTTATGTATCTGATGGGTCTACTTCTAGATCTGAAGAGAACCGGTGGATTTGAGCTCAGATCTGCTTGAACCGGCTCTGAATCGTTGCTAGACCGCGAAAATACCTGCAAAAACTCAACGCCGGAGGTGTTTCCGACGTAGAGCCTCCGACGCTCAAGTCAGTATGAGAGTGACGAAGGGATGCAGGTTACCCGGTTGAGTTAGGGGCTTCAGAACCGATATATGATAATATGACTATATCATCTAGTCCCCCCCCCAAAATTACTCTAAGTCGGTAAGGGGTTAAGTGTAAATTTGGTGATCGATTTCTTTTATTAGCTCTGCTCTTCATTCATTCCTCGACATCGAGGCCCTTGCCTCGTAATCCTTCGGTACTGTTTTGAGATCTCATCATTACCTTCTGGATAGTTCTGACAGCCGGACATCCTTTCGAATTTCAAAATTCGAATTTGTACTTATCACATCGCTTCAACTCCGTCGCCTCGTATTCTGTGCCTTATTTGGGACCATCAGATCTTTTCTTGATCTAACGGCTGGTAATCATCTACCTCCTTTATAAGTATCCCTCCCTTCTTCAAAACGTCACTTTTTCTCTTCTCTTGCTCTGTGACACTTCTCGAGCTTCTCCGGTGCTCTCCACGTTTTTGGCTTTTCCGGCGCTTCTTTCTCCCCGACGACTTCAGATCCTCAAAGTTCTTCAACAACAATCATGTGTAAGTTCATTTCCCTCTCAATTCTTGTTGGCTCTTTACTTGTATTATTTTTGTGTTTATCTCCGATTCTTTCTGGATTTCTCTGGGTTAGGAGGCCTTGGGTGTTCTTCGTGTTCTTATCCTTTTGTGCAAACCTTCGTGTTAGATCTTCTTCACTTGATGTTTCCTTTGGATTTCTTGTTTGTCCCTGCTTCGCCACAAGTTTTCAATATAGGAGTCGAGTCCTCATGACTTGAGTCGTTTTAGGTTTGGCACGCGTCGACACGCACCGTGTCTTTCTCATCTTTATGATTAGGTTGAGTCGAGTACCACTATGTAGCTCTACTTATTTCGGATCCATTATCTCGAAGTTACCTTCCTATTTCTCTGACTCGACTTGTGACGATTTCCTCAAGTCGACTTGCTCTTGGTTGGTTGTGTTAACTTTCGCTTCATATTGACTTCTCATCGACTGATTTTGACTCTCTCCTTCATTCTTCTAGATTCTGACTCAGACTCTTCTCCTAACACTGTTGAACGTTTGATCGACGAAATCGTCTGACTCTGTACAAGTAGTCGGTTTCAAACCGGCTGATAGATCGCATAATTCTCCCCATTCGGATGTATCTTCTTTCGACATCGACCAAGACGTTTATAATCAGGACTGGATGTCGGGTGTTCTAATGGAGGATCCTGAGTCGTTACAAGTTAGAGCGTCTCCTCGTCTCGACCTTATACCCCGAGGTATTCCCCTTAGGATTTTAGATGTTCCTGTGTATAGAACCAGTCCTTCTTCTCAAATAATTGCCCCTCTCTTCGAGGTTCAAAATGTATCTGTAGCATGTCCATTGGTTAAGTTAGCCGTTCTAAATCCTTTTTTCTATGCCTCTGCAGCCGAGGTCGAGGGCTTTAGGGTGTACAGTGGACTTCCCGTCAATTGGGAACTGGTCGTTCCCCGCTCCAATGATGACTTCGCTAGTCCTCCTCCCGGCTTTTACACCTTCTTTATAGACCAAGTACTCTCCGGCCTTCGCTTTCCGGTTCAACCTGAACTCCGTTCTATCAGCGACTTGTATAATGTACCGATAAATAAATTTTCCCCTAACGCAATCCGCATTATGATTGCCTTCATTGTTGTTTCTCGAATAAAGCTCCGATACTTTTCTCCCGAATTTCTTTTTTATTGCTATGGCTATAGATACATAAAAGTCGCCCATTGCCTGGGTCGTCGTGCCGGTGTCACATTTCTCGATGACCTTTCCTCGAATGTGACCCAGTGGAAGTCAAAATTCGTTTTTATCCGTCCTGCTCCTAGTAAATACCCTTATCCTAACGAGTGGATCAAGTCGAAAGTGAAACAAGATAAACTACCGCGGTCTGCTGAATTCGCGTCGATGCTAGCCGAGCTTAATAAACATACTTATAAAGCCCGTCAACTGATCAAGGAGAACTCCCTTCTTAATCATGTTGGCATTGTTGTCGACGAGGACCTTCCTCGTCTCGATGACCCTCGTATGTTCATCTGTGTTCTTTTATCATTTTAGGGTGGGTCGTTCATGCTTCTCCATATTTCAGTTTTATTAGAATCGTTCGTTCCTCTTACTGCAGATTCCATTCTGGCTCGATTTGAAAATGCGAAAGCTATGGCCGACAAGAAATCCGCTGGCCCAGCTTCCCCGAAAAAGCCCGATGGTGGCTCGGGATCAGGTGCGAAAGGGCCAGCAGTCGAGACGACTGCTGCCAAGAACTCAAAGGTCGTGCTCCCGTCTTCGGAAAAGCCGCAAAAGGCTTTAGGCTAGCACTCCCAGAAAAGGGCTCAAGATTGGTCCCTGCCTCGCTCAAACGTCCGAAGAACAAGGATAAGGGCAAGGCAATTGAGCAAGCTCCTCCTCCTCCTGGCGGCCTCGATACGGTTAGTCTCGAGAGGCCCTCTCGTCTCTGGGACCATCCTCATCCTCACGAGATTGCCAAATACTTCGACTCCGTCATTCCTGCTGCTGACAAGGCTCGCGCCGATCGTGATCCTTATGATCACGCTTGCCGCGCTCTTCTGTGCTTTTCTCGGGTAATTATTTTTCTTTGTTTTTCAGTCGATTGTATCTACTTGAGCTATTCT